AATTAAACAAGAGATTACAGTTACACATATGAATGGTTTGTACATCTTACTTCATAAAAATTCTTTGCAGCAGATTTTTTTTCATCATCTGTTTTAGGAAATTGAATCACTTCTACTGCAATGTTTAATAAATAATCCATTACTCGATTCATTATTCTGAAGAAAGTTGACTCTCCAATATTGAATCTTTCGGCGACATCTCTCATTACACATTTATTAGCAGCATACCTATAACATAGCTTACATATTTTATAGTAAAAAAAATCCTATTTGTTATTAAAAATGTACTAACCATACAAATGATAAAATGTGAATTTCTGCAGAAATTCGCCTACTCCCATGATCTTCTCTGCAGTATGTTTCATATATTTCACTATTTTGGAAATTTTCAATTAATATAGAACAAGTATTTCTTTGTAATCGAAAATCACGTCGAAACTAAAAAATAAAATTATAAAAAGTTGTATGTATATATATATGTATAATGTAATAATATATGTGGATTGTGTGTGTGTGTGTGTGTACACATACACAATATTATCACATTATACATTTTTATCAAAAAACCTTAAAAAATCAAATATTATAACCTGCTCATCAGTCTTTAGATGAATAGTATCCAAATAATTTATAATCTTTGGTTTTATATTTTTCGAATTTGTAATTAGTAATACTATTTCATCTTCACTTGATGAAGACGAAGATTCTAAAAACTCGTTTGCTAACAATAAGTTCATTTTTTGTCACAACAGTAAAGACTAGATGGAGTAATTCAAATAGTGTGACACTGAAGTGGCCCCGGCCTCTAACCTCGGGGCCACTTTTATTGCACTCAGTGCGCACTGAGAGCATTTTGCACTCTCAATGAAATGTGCTCCACTCAGAACGTGCAAACTAAAACTACCAATGAAATACGCTTCAAGCACTCAGTGTTGCCAGTGCTAGCGAGTTTTTTCCAATGGAAGACGCTAATAGTGTTTATGTAGCAGAGAGAAAGAGATAAGAGAGAGATTATACAATATAACTTCAATAATCGAAAAAATCACGATAACGCTATTGTCATATCTATGTGTGTGCATATATATAAACTTATATATTATATATTTTATAAATAAGTAAAATATTATGCAGACAATGTATACAATATAAAATGTTCAGTTTGTGCTATGCTTCAATCAATAACACTGGTCGACAAAAAATGACTTTTTTCAGGTTCGAAGATTTCCAAAGCGTATTTTTGTAGATTTTTTTCATGCCGATTACAAATTCGGCCGCAAAAATTGCGTATCACGTCACGTTTTTTAGATATCTTGATCTAAAGATGCAAAAATTCGTTCAACGCATTAGTGTTTGTGTCTACATGGATGTTACTACATATGCGATGTAAGAGAGACAAGGACAGAATGATAGTCTCTCTTTGTCAAGCTGTTAGCTGTCAGTATGTTACCACGGAAATTTCCCCTGCTCCTTATGAATCTAGTGAGAATCTTATCGTCCAGATATTTCATAAAATAAGTGACATAACTTTGGTTTTTTTTTTTTTTTAATATATTCTTGATATAATAAAGTAGTCCGCCAAAGAGTCGGATTTTGCATTTTTGCTCTGAAAAATTTATAATAAATAAAATACGGACTCCTGGCTAACCCAACCTTACCCGTTACTAGCTGCGCATTCCTTCAAGTTATATTATAAATTTTATTTTCATCTTTTTTTCAATAAATAACTCTTTGGCGGACTGCATTTGAGCTTACTGATTAAGAATATCATAAATTTAATAAGATTCATTCAGTAGTTTCGCTAATATCTGGAATATAAGAATCTCTAATTCCCGGCCGGCCGATAGGCGTCTCCACCATGTCGCCTGCCGACCCTAAAGCAGGGAGCACACACTTTTGCATAGGCGCATAAACGTAAGCATAATAATTTTGATTGGTCTATAAACGTATACATAAGAAATTCAACCAATCGAATTTTTTATGCATATGCTTATGCGCTTATGCAAGAGTGTGTGCTCCCCGCTTTAATAGTCAGATCGCCAAAGGTCTGTCTAAAGAGGAGACCGTCATTTTTGCCCCTTACCGACACACTTTGCCTTTGGTTCGAGTCCAGGCTAATAAAATCCTTTGATTTTACCAAAAAACTTTGCCTTTGGTGCGAGTTCAAACTAAAATCTTTTTATTTACACGTATAATCAAAGGATTTTAGCCTGAACTCGTACCAAAGGCAAAGTTTTTTGGTAAGATCAAAGGATTTTATTAGCCTGGACTCGAACCAGAAGCAAAGTGTATCGGTAAAAGGCAAAAATGACGGTCTCCTCTTTAGACAGGCCTTTGGCGATCTGTCTATTAATCTGTGGCTGGACGACTTGTCGACCTTTAAATTTAAATCAGGGGGTCGATTGTGTAATTTTTTCTAAAGTAAAAATGTGAAAAGTAAAAAATTTTTTCCAATCACACATCGATTTTATCTTAAAATCAATGCGTGATTGGTGGAAATTTTTACTTTTCACGTTTTCACTTTAGAAAAAGTTACACAATCGACCCCCAGGTCTAGTCCACAATAGATGGCGTCCTAACCCGTAATGTGAGTACAGCTTAACATATGGCCCGTGAGATAACACTGTCATTGGTCAGGCTGACATTAAACTTTGGGAGGAAGAAGAAGAGGAAGAAAGAAGAAAAAGTTGATAACATTATTATTATTGCAATTTAGAGAGGAATAAAGAGAAGTCTCTTTTTATACTTTTAGGTGTGAATTACGTACAGAATTTTTTTTAAGATATTATTTATACTTGTATACGCATTTCTCTATTAAATTCAAATATCTGTTATATCAGTTAAAGAGAATTATTATATCAGAAACGAAGATAATAAAGCGAACATAAAATATAAGCTTTTGGTTAATTGCGTCACTTATCTGTATAAGTATAAAATGTTTCTTTCTTCTGAATATTTCTTATTTCTTTATCATATATGAAATTGTTATTATATTACAAAATAATTACTGCTGTTACGCTATTAGAATAATAAAATATTTGCAAGAATGTATAATTTTATTTATCAAATTTTTCAAAGGTATGATTCTTGTTTCAAATGTATAATACATTTTTTGGTATATTAAAGATGAACAATAGCAAGTTATATATACTTAATTATGAAAAATATATTTATAAAAATAAATTATAATCACATCACATTTATGTATATATAAATAATGTGCGCGTAATACATATGCAAATCTTGTCTGATTATAAAACATAACTTTTGTATATTTATTTAATAAATTTATTACAATTTAGTTATTTGTTTTATTATTCCATTTATCAAAGCAAGGTATATAGTTGAAAATACAATATTTAATATATTTTCAATTTTGAGTAATATGTCGTCTAACTATTTCCATATAAAATATGTATTACAATGAAATAATTAGAGTAGTTTTTTTATTCTTAAGATATAATTGTTGATCTGTGAAATTACTATATAACATTTTAATTTTAATATAAAATATATTTTTAAAAGTTGACTTTTGATCTAACAATAAGTTAATTTCATATTAATATATATATACTATATATATATATATATATATATATATATTAATATTAAATTAACTTATTGTTAGATCAAAATAATATATACCCATACAGCACCGATAGATTGCAAAAACATTACAACAATCTTTCACCGCAATATTGCAATATTGCAAATTCACTGCAAATGTTGCTACATCATTGCTGTTGAATTGCAGCAATGTTAAAATGTCCGCTTTTGGAAGATTGCAACAAAATATTACAACAACATTGCAATGTTATGAATTTGCAATAATGCATTGTTATTGCAACCATAAACTAATGTTGCATATACAGGTATATAAATGTAAATAAATCATTAATGAAAATACGTTGTAATTAATTTATATATATTACAATATATAAATTATAGAATTTGGATTACATGCAATATTTCCGAAATATTAATGTCATGTTGCTACAAGTGTGCTGGAATTTTGTGCACCTATATCTCTGCAATGTCTTTATAATGTTGCATTGCAACTTGCAACATTGCAACGTTGCTGCAATATAATTGCAATAATCTGTGCTGTATGGGTATATATATATATATATATATATATTAATATTTATGTTTTAATGGCGGATTATTTAGGTTTTCTTAATAATTTATAAAAATATGTACCCAGATAGCCACAGTAATTATTATGACATTATTTTGATGGCAAATGATGCATTTTGACATCAAAATGATGTCATAATAATTACTGTGGCTATCTGGGTATAAATATAAAAATGATTTGTTACAAAATATCTCATAAAAATTAGTGTTGTAAATCATGTAAGGAAATTAATTTCAAATTTTATATTAATGTAAGAATGATTTATAATAAATTTAAGTTTTGTTTATTACTCTTAACAATCGCTCGTAAATTGGTCTTTTATTAATTTTACTTTTTATTGCGTAATATAATACGAGCTTTTTAATTTTTTATTTTAAAATTAGTGTTATTTATTTTATTTTACTCAAGTATATTTATTTTATTATATATATATATTTATTTATTTTATATATATATATTTTTTTAATTTTATTTATTTATATATATTTTTTTTTAATTTATAAATGTATTTTTTATTATTTATATTTTAAAAATTTTATTTATACATATATATATATTTAATTTATATATATATATATTATTTTTATATATATATTTATTTATAACTACTTTATTTTACAATTTAATTAATTTTTGTTTACAGAAATTCTCTGATTGGTCAATTATACTAGTTATCCTGAACATTGATCGCTTTGATTGGTTCGGTCCAATTAAAGTCCCTAGAAGACTTCTAAGGACTCTAGCATATTATCATTGTTTCCTTTTGTCTGTATACAGAATGACATTCAATTTAGCTGCTTTTTCATATATCGTAGCATTAATCGGGGACGCATTTTTAATATTTTTCGCGATATTTCACGTATGTGTCTCGTCTGACGAGTTTGTAAAATAATTCACGCCGATGAAAGTCATTATAGACATTTCTACGCACGTTAAATAAATTGCGTATAACCTTAAAACGATAATATGTATATACAGGGTGTCATACAAATACAAAAATGTTTTAAACAAAAGTTGTAGGGCTTTAACAAATACATAAAATGGTGATACATATTTGACCTTGACAGCAGTTATGAAAAAAAGTCTCAAGGTCAACTTTAAAATCTTAAATTTTTTATTATATTATCTACTAATTAATTGAAACAACTTTGATCTAAAACATTTTTTCTGAAAATGCTCCCATTGATTTTGACATGTTTTTGAAATGATTGACCTTGAGACTGTCTTTCATAACTGCCATCAAATATGTATCACTGTTTCATGTATTTGTTGAAGCCCTACAACTTTTGTTTAAAACATTTTTATCTGTTGCGCTCAGTTTTCAAAATATTCAGACACCCTCTATATATATTAAATATACTGTTAATTAAATAATTAAATCTTTCAGGTAATCACATTCGATGAATTGAAAACTGGATATAAAAATCCAATCGATCAGTGTAATAATTTAAATCCGGTAAGATATGCAGATAATGTAAGATATATTGTTTACAGTATTGTTCAGTCATTACATTTTGATTTCAGTTAGTTCTGCCGGAGTATATATTGCATATTGTAATCAATTTTTTCTTTTTAATCAGTGAACAGTATTTTTCACTGTTCATCAATATTCCGCTGATAGCCTATCATGTCTGGCGATACATAAACAGACCTTTGATGACAGAGTCTGGCTTGTATGATCCTACAAGCATAATGAACGCTTATGATTTGTCTATGTACCAAAGAGAAGGATGGGTTAAGCTAGCATTTTATCTTCTTTCATTTTTCTACTATTTGTATGGGTGAGTTGTTCCTTCCTTCCTCTCTGCATCTTTTTTCCTTTTCTCTGTCATTTTTTCTCTACCTTTTATCATATAATCTCTGTCTTATCATATCTAATCATGTTGTAAATAATTATAATTTTTTTCTGTAATTTATATTTCAGAATGATCAACTCCTTGATTAATTAAAACCAGTAATTGTCAAAGTTGATAAAAATTTAATTTCTCTTATGCAACAATGCATGTATCGGAGAAGCACAAGAAATGAGATGTTAAATTAATTTATTATATTGAAAGTTTTGTATAAATGACACAATATGAGAGAAAAGTTTTTTGTGATGGATTATCTAGATTGTATCTAGACTTTATACATATAATTCCAACATAATTCCAATATAATTTGTTTAAATATTTTTTTCACATATGTATGGTATGTATATGTTTCGAACAAAGTATCTTTTACAAAATAAAGATTAAGTATATTTTGAATCTATTAGAATATTATTCATATTTTTAGACACAAAAAAAATATCTCGAAATAAATATGGATTCTATTCATATTTTGATATAAATTTAACTTTATAAACTCTCTGTTAGTAATTTTTGATGTATATTTTTTATATGCAGAAAATTATACCCATATTTAATAACTACATAATAACTTCTTTATATACATAATACATAAATTAGAGATTTTTAATACTGGCAATTTGCATAATATATTGATTTTTGCTTTATTCAAGTTTATATTAATTTATTTTATCACACAAACTAAAATACGATTTTTACTTATGGAAAAAAGATGCATATATTCTACTGCAACATTATTAAATAACATACACATACGAACTTACATCTATATTTTCTATCGTAAGTAAAGATAACATGGAACATAAATACAATAAAAGTCCAAATTAATGTACCATAGTTTAAAAATACCATTTATTTAATACATTAAATGAGAGTTAAACAAATAAAATATATACTGAATTTGTATTTCGTTACAGTGGATTAATATAATTTTTAAAACAAAAGTGAAAGAGAGATACATTAAGATCTTATTGGAAAATTCTAACAAAAAGAGAGTAGTGTTATGCGTATAATATAAAATATTTTTCTGCAATTGGTGTGTATCTTTTTAAAGCAAAATTATTTTTAATACAAGGTGTCCCATAGAAAATTGTTTTTTTATCAATAAAATAAACTGGTATACATTTATATCCATTAAAAATTGTAGACTTTCCTCTTTCCAACACAATTTTTGTTTTCTAAATAACTGCATGCATTAAAAACTAACAACCGATTAGTTTCAGCAATTTTCTATGGGCTCTGTTTAAAAACTTTATATTTTAGTACTTTAGAGGTAAGCTAAACTAAATAATTACTATGCATTATAATATAAATTAAAAAAAAACATTTTGCAATCATAAAATGTGAATTTTCCATAAATACATATATTTAAATTTGTAAGTTTCATATAACATTTTAAATTATTGAATACATTATAAAAGACATTATTAATTGTAGGCCTAGTGGTCAGAGTCATAATAATGGCCAACATTTTTAACCTGTTTTATGAACGACTGGGCATGAGTTATGCTGAATATTTTTAATCTGATCTATTAACTTAGGATATTCTTCCATTAAAGCTATAAAGTCTGAGGTCTTTACAATATCTTCTAAATATAATTTGATAAAGTCTTTAGCATATTTTTCCAATACTTTTTCCGTTATGTAAATATGCAATCTTTAAATGTATTACAACGTTCACTTTTGTTGTATTTCTAATTAAATATGATTCACATTTTAATTTAAGATCTTTTATCTTGTATTTATTAGCTGTGATAAAAAGTTCATATATTATATATATATCTATATTTTATAACTTATTAGATAGATGACCAGTTTGTACAAAAAGTGATAATTGCTTTAGAGTATCACATTTTATATCCAATATGTGTACCACATTAGTTTGGCTTTCTTGTAAATCGCTGTTAAACATAGCTTTAAACACTTTACTTTTTGAACATAGTAAAAGCTTATTTACTCGAACATCTCCTTCATTTGTTTGTAATGTAACAGATGAATTAGGTATTTCAGTAGGAACAAAAATATCAATATCTGTTTTAAATGGCTTAAATGAATGGTTTACACTACTATTAGTCACGCTAATAGTGTATGGAATTCGAAGTATATTGTAAGTGTCCCATTATGTAAATACATTTTTTGATTTTTGATACAATGAATTTCATCTATTTGATACAATAATGTTTCGATATTAAGTATTAATTTTTTATCTGCCTTTTTGCAAATTTTTTTATTATTAATATTTAAAAAAAAACAGAATAAAGACATGTTTCAGAAAAATTCTTAATTGAATCGGAATTCTTTAGGCACCTCTTGCCATAAAAATACACTGTACCCTTTTCAGGGACAGGGTGCATAGAACATAGAAAATCATTGTTTATTGCACTGGATATAACTTTACCATATTTATGAATTTTCAAAAAATTCTCAATGCTCCATGTGTAATAAATTTGTTTTCTGTCAATTCTGTTTTACAATGGATACTGACATCTTTAATAATGGGGGTGGATGTGGACATCTTGGTCATCAATGCTGCAAATAATGTTTAATATTTTATACAAATTGAATATATCTTAAAAAATATTTCATAAAATAATTTTTTATATATTATTTATTTATATATTATTTTAAATATTTGTACAATTCATCAATATCAATTATATATCTCTAAAACAATAATGCAATAATCATTATATTTTCTTCAGAATATTGATTATAATAATTTTATATAAACACTATACTGACAAACATATATTTCTTTATTATTACTCAATTAAAAACCATTTACAAATTTGATTTTAGTTCTAACAATTTAAAAAAAAAATAAAGATACAATAAAGATAAAAAATAGACTTAAAAAAAAAAATAATTTCTATAACAGTTTTTTTTAAAGGAAAGAGAATATTTTACAACATTGTTTTAATATAAATAACTTCAAATTTTTAAATTTATTAATAAATTTTATTTATTAATTTTTTTTAATTTATATAAAATAACAATTAAGAAAATAAAAATTAAGAACAAAAATTTTGTTTTTTATAGAAATGTATTTTTTCTTTGTAATTACCATTATGAAAAAAAATGGAAACTAATATTACCTTATTTCATAATATACTTGCAAGAATGACATACATCAAAGAATGTTTTCATTAAAATTTAATTTATTGAAAATTTAATTGTCCAATATGTTTAAAATTTTATAAAAAAGAAATGGAGGTCAGAAAAAAAAATGTTTATCTTAGGAAAAAAGTTAATAATAAGTTTAAAAATAACTATAATTTATGTTAAAAAAAATAACTTATTTTTTTATTAACTCTGTAATTATATATATATATATATATATATATATATATATATATATATATTACAAGGTTGGGTAAAGTAATTATATATAGTTAATTAGTTAAAAAAAATAAAACAATAGTTAGCTTACAGAGTTAATAAAAAAATGAGTTACTTTTTTTAACATAAATTATAATTATTTTTAAACTTATTAACTTTTTTCCTAAGATAAACATTTTTTTCTTTTCTGACTGTCATTTCTTTTTTATAAAATTTTAAACATATTGGACAATTAAATTTTCAATAAATTAAATTTTAATGAAAACATTCTTTGATGTATGTCATTCTTGCAAGTATTATGAAATAAAGATAATATTAGTTTCCATTTTTTTTTTCATAATTGTAATTACAAAGAAAAAATACATTTCTATAAAAAACAAAATTTTTGTTCTTAATTTTTATTTTCTTATATATAATTGTTATTTTATATAAATTAAAAAATTTAATAAATAAAATATTAAGTTAAAAAATTTTGAAGTTATAACATTTTAATTTTAATATAAAATATATTTTTAAAAGTTGACTTTTGATCTAACAATAAGTTAATTCAATATTAATACAACTATACATTTTTTAGCTTTATTAAAAATTCCAATTTTTTTCATTTTAGAGAAACAAGGAAAGAATAAATTATTATTTGCAATTAAAACATTTTGAATATTTTATTGCTTTTGAATGTTATGTAAATAGTATACATATATACATTTAACTATGGATGTTGCGTATGTAAATGTGTATATGGATAAAATAAAGAATTTTTCTTTACAATTATATACAATAATATTACAACATTTATACAAGATGTTAAAAACGTATAATTTGCGTAGTGTTATATTTTTATAAAAATAATTTTAAACAGTTCTAGTGAGATCTGAATTAACGTAAGTATGATTTAATAAATGTTGAGACTCCAATCTAGTTGTGACTCTTTCTTGATTGTCCCATCTTGAGTGATAATTTGAAAGTATTTCCCTTTGGGTTTCAACATGAGCTTAATATTTCCATAATATATGTCTATGTCTTTAAAAGCGTTCAATAAGAATATAGCAATTATAACTATAAGAAAGCCACAAGAGGCACCCAAAGTATTTTCTATGCTCATTTTCTCCCATTCTCTGAATAAAATCGCGGATGCTATTATTACTAATGTCGTGAAGAAGACATAATAAATTGGTGTTACAACAGATGTGTCGAACAAATCAAGTGATTTGTTTAAATAATTCATTTGTACTGTGATGCAAAGAATAATACTAAATATGAAGACCCAGGTCAGCCAAACGGCAAACGCATTCTCTTTACCAGAGATGGTTTCCTTCAGAGCCAAGCCTAAGCCTTTACAGTTCATAACAGTTAAGGAGCCCACAGAGGAGCACAAACATATATATACTAAAATATTTTGTTTACCGTACGCTGGACCGAAATAAAATACAATCAACAGAGTAAACATTATTACAATTAAAACGTATGATATGTAAGCTGGTTGTCTTATTTTGACAATTAATTCACTTAAACTGCTAACTTTTTCCTCTTGGGGGAATGCAATACTATTATGGTAGAACCTAGGATACATAATAAACAACCAATCTGAAAAAAAAAAAAAAACAATTTTATTGTTAATATTATGAAATGTTGCTAAGTATTATATAATTATTATTTCTTTTGATACAGATTTTCTTTTACCTTTCCCAATAGATTTAACTTTTCATTAAGATATTTGGAAGCTAATACTGCTGATACTAGAACACTCAACGCACCCAATGGTGTTACAAGTGACGCAGATGCAAATGCATATGCAATAAAATTTGCCGCTTCTCCTATTCCCACTGTACATTCATTTTACATATTGTTATTAAAAAAACCGACAATACTTACAACATTATACTTATAATCTTGAAATTTATACATACTTGATAAAAAACCAGCCCACCATATCCATTCTTTTAAATAGCCAAAACCACCAGAGGATGCACGTATTCCACCGTACCTCTGAAGCCGGATCAAGGCTATTTTTTTAATGATAAAACTGGCACCTATAAATAACAGATTAACAAATAAATTTAAAGATATAAAAAATTATATAATATATAGTTTATTTCAGTTATTTCCCAAAAAAGGATCTGGTTTAAAATTATTCTTTTATCTTCACAAAACTATTTTATCTTATTCTTAACTTTTTAATTTACATCTAAAATTTACACTATCGTTACTTAATAAAATAATTTATATCATAAAATATAACTAATATTTCACAAAGCAATACAAAACAAATCTAAACAAAACTATAAACAGAATTCAAATTTTACAAAATAAATAACAATGTCCTTATTAACTTCATTGTACCTTAACTTTAATTTTAATCTTTATAATCTAAATATGCTTTTTTTTGATAAAAGAAAAACAATTGATTTTTGTGTTTAATTGTGTATCTCTCTTTTCTAACTTTTTTTCTATAAAAATAATGTAACCAATATACTGACAAATCGAATGTTAATACTATTTAAATTACAAACCTATAAATCCACTTGAACTAATCGCTAGTCCTAAACCGATATAAAAACTTGTTGTATCATAATTTTTATCGTCATTTGTCACCTCTGTTGTAAAACTCATGTTTTGTTACAAAAATTCAGAGTTGACAGGTGACAGATGACAGGTGAAAGTTGATGAACGTTCAAACTATTCGAAGTCCGAATCCGAACTGATACTAAAGGCTTCTTTCTATTTTTTCTATTCCTAATCTTTCTTTATTGTGCACAGAGCTTTATGTAGCTTTATATCTTCTAGTTTTTTCCATGATATACATAGCCACATCTAGATATTCCATACATTATGACGTAGATTTTATGTTAAAACTGTGGACGTTTGAACGTTATAAAAGGTAAACATTGATGATTCCACGATTTGAAAGAATTTCTAATATTATAGAAATTTAATATCAAGTTCATTCTTTGACTTAAAAATGTAATCTTTTTTTTTATAAAATTAATTTTCGAAATTGTAAAAAAAAGAAATAAATAAATTAGATATTGCATACAGAATTCTTATTTATAAAATTTTATTTATTTAAACATAAAAGACAAGTGTATTTCTATCAATTTTTTTTAAAGAATTTCGAAAAGATGATGCAAAACGTGGAGATAAAAGCAAAAATTCGGGATATCGATTATACTATTTCAAAAGCCAAAGAACTGAGTAATAATGATGGAAAAATAATAACACAACATGATATTTTCTATAATGCAACAAAGGCAAGATTAAAGCTACGAAAATTTGAGGTAAAAGCAATTATTCATTTCTTATTTAATGCATTTATTATTATTAGTATAAAAAATAGATATTTCAATTATTAGAATATTTTTCATGAAACGACAATTCTATAATAGTGTATAATATTCTAAGAATGTCTTTTTTTAAGATTTATTAAAGTTATATTGCATTATCTATCTAATAGAATTTTTTATTTTTTTATAGGATGGTACTGCACAATTAATTTCTTATGTGCGACCAAATATAATAGGACCAAAAGTATCTGCTTATGACAAAGTTTCCATATATGAAAATATTGTAGACTTAGTAGATACTATTTTGTCAAATGCTTTGGGTACAGTAGGAGTCATTAAAAAGACAAGACATGTATTTATTGTTGGGCGAACACGAATACACATTGATAATGTCGAGAATTTGGGAAATTTTATAGAATTGGAGGTTTGCGAGAGAGTTTCTTTCTACTGTGAAGCTTTGTTAGAGAATGAAGATAAACAATTTTTTAATGATGTATTGTATTAATGCAGGTAATGATGCAATCAGGCAATGCAGATACAGACTGTGACCGGGAAACTGCAGAAAAAACCGCTAATGATCTTCTTCAAGTGCTGTCCGTAAAGGAAGAAGATTTAATTGCAGAAGCATACATTGATTTACTCAATCGCAAGAATACAATGTAAATATGATGAATCTTACATTTTGTATGAATGCAAAGAAATGATCAATTTATTGATTGAAAATATAAAGATTTGTATTTTTTCTACTTTATAGAATTCAATAAATTTTGATAAAAAATGATTTTCACAAAAGAGAAGATTTTTTAGAAATATATTTTTTCTTTTTTCTTCTATTTTTTATCTGTATATATCTAAAAATATTTTCTATATATTGAAGTTAATGCTGAATGTTGAAATAAGTAAGACTATTAAATTTTGTAGCATATTTTAAATATTATTTATAATGTATAAAGTTCCTAATGCATTATTTTGTTCTTGAAATATCATCAAGTATTTTTCTGCTAACATAGTGTATACAATGAAATTTTTCTGGAGTTCTTAGGATTTCTGAATCAAGTTGTTGTGTTTTTCTTTCTCATATATATCAATATTTCATATTGATTTTTGATGTAATATTTTCTTCTTGGGCTTTACTTGTACTTGAAAAATATCAATTGTTCTATTATTCGTTATATAATATAAAATATTCCAGGTAGCAAATGTACACCATTTTAACATCGATGACATTATTTTGACGTCGAATGACGTCATTTTGACGTTGAATAACGTCATGTTAACGAATGATATCAATTTGCTATATATATATATAGTTGGGGTAATATATAATAATATATTATCGGAGAGTCTCTCTGATAAAACCCATAATGACATCATGTCACTTAAAATTAATTTTGGGAAACATTTTTTTTTATATTACAATTATTTATTTATTCTATTGTTCACACATATTCTAACAATATTCAGCAAAATAAATTTTTTGAAAAATTATATAAAGCAATTATCTTATTATTATAAAGAACTTTAAATTTATGATTCCTTGTTCTCATCTTTAAATAAAATTTTTGAATCATTTATTTTGTCTAGATAACTTTTAAGTAATAACTAAAATCATGATGAGTCATTATATGAAGTTATGAGTTTTTTTTATGTAAGCTAGTATAATTAAGTAAATACTATAAATCAAGAACCAGAATTAGAAAAAACAAGATTAATTGGATCTAGATCTTTCTTTATTATATCTAAACATTTCTTTATTATATCTAAAAACATTTTTTCTTATTGGATATATATTAATTATATTATTTATCAATAAAAATGATACAGTGGTATATTATAATATATTCACAGTTGAATATGAGGTATTGCAGAAGTTAGTGGTGACTTACTTATAGGTTGACGCGAGCTACAAACAGTTTTAAAATATGTTTTTTTAAAGGTCTTTTAGGTCACTCTGACAATGAATATGAAATTAATTGTCAATATTTGTTTCATGGCAAGAAAACTTCTTTAATACGTCACATATTGTAGTTTTAATATGACAAAATTCGAAAAAATCACACTTTCTTATAAATTTTATTGCAAATTTTTTAAATTGTGACGTGATGGAGTAATTTTTAAGTCAGATTCGTGTTCAGTGTCAAAAACATTATAAGAAACATCTAGTTTCGTACCGGTGTTTTTTTATTGAACAATGTTATTAATGATGATCAAAGATCTCAAAATGTGGAGACTGATGTTGATTCAGATGAAGAATTTGTAATTAATCTCCAGGATCAAAATGATATTTAATTAACACAGAATTCTGATGAATATCTATTAAAATTTTTGAAGAAATGGGCAATGAGAGGTGTTGCACATAGAAAAGTTGATGAACTTTTGTAGGACTACGATCCCTCCATAGTTTTTTACCAAAATCTCACAAAACTTTACTGCAAACTCCACGCAAAGTTGAATTACAACGTAATGGTAGAGGTTTAATGTGGTATAAAAGTGCCTGAACATCTAACATTTTCATCAGATTCTGAATCAGTTAAAGAATCAAAAAAGAAGAAACTTAAGGAAAGACACAATATTCCAAAACTTAGTTCAACTCTGTCTTCAAAGCTCAAGGAATTATTCGAGAGTAGCAAAGCCAAGAATTCAGCTAAGTCTACGAATAAATATTTTGCTAATTCAAATCTTTCATCTATATCATCAAAGAAAAATACAACTCTTGTTTGTCGATTATCGCAGGAAAAGTCTACACAATCTGGTTTGTATTTCTAATTACTGGAATTTTATTGCAGCATTTAATAGTAGTAGACTATCCTTATATGCTCTTGTACTTTTATTTTTCAGAATCTACTAATAAAGAAAACTTGTCTGACAATGAAATGTTCATCAACTTTGAGATCTTCAAATTCTTCTAACAATTTTGATTTATCTGAAAAGGCTTCCACTTTTGAGCAATCTCCAGAATCTCAAGATATACTTACAAAATCTGATTACAATAGTGTGAGACAAATAAATAAAAAAAATAATTCTCTAAACAGATCTACATCATTAAAAAGGTTTTTAGAAGGTATTTTTATTGATTACCTTATTTAAATTTAATAAAGAATACAATTAGATATTTAAAGACAAGGCTCGTGTAATATTATAAAATTAAGATTTAGAAAGACAGGGCCAACTATAACGAGCATATTAAATTAGTGAGAGATGTAATGTTAACACATAATTAATTTATTTCTTAGTAAATACAATGATAATAAAAAAAATAAACGTTTCGGCTGTTACCTCAGCCTTCTTCAGTAAATATAAAAAACATTAAAAAAATCTTTTAAGTAAAATTATGACATATTACGCATTGGAGTCTATTTTTTAATGAACCTTTGGTTTGATGAGTCAATAAATTTAAATTGGGTTACGCTTATATCATTAATTAAAATAGATATTAATATAAAACAAACTGTTAATCTCGGCTCAAATTATTGTGTTACAATAAAAATAAAATCTCGACGGCAATCGGAGCCTGTGCGGATGACATGCACAAAATTAATAAATTAAAATGAGATCTCAAGTCAAACTCATTTATTAAATTCTAAACGTTTCGACCCACTTCGGGTCTTCTTCAGTAGAATCCGCAAATAAATTAAATATCATTCTCCTCCCTATTCGAACCGTCCGGCCGTCGGAGTGTCTCCCTAACGGTGACCATCGTCAGGAAGGAAGCAGAGCAGTGACTCCCTTACCAACACCCGACAGCAAAAACAGAGAGAAGACGATGCTACACGTGACACATCACTCTAACGACTGTGATTTAGAAAGACAGGGCCAACTATAACGAGCATCACAGTCGTTAGAGTGATGTGTCACGTGTAGCATCGTCTTCTCTCTGTTTTTGCTGTCGGGTGTTGGTAAGGGAGTCACTGCTCTGCTTCCTTCCTGACGATGGTCACCGTTAGGGAGACACTCCGACGGCCGGACGGTTCGAATAGGGAGGAGAATGATATTTAATTTATTTGCGGATTCTACTGAAGAAGACCCGAAGTGGGTCGAAACGTTTAGAATTTAATAAATGAGTTTGACTTGAGATCTCATTTTAATTTATTAATTTTGTGCATGTCATCCGCACAGGCTCCGATTGCCGTCGAGATTTTATTTTTATTGTAACAAAATAGATATTGTTACTAATCGGCTAACCATTTTTTAACTGAGATGGTAAACTTATTAATTATGTCAAAAAACATGTAAACGAGCTCACTGTTGTTAGTAGAACAAGTTGACAGTCCATTCCACGTCATCAATCCTTTTGAACATTGTTAGTTGAAAATATCCTCAGAACCGCTTGATATGAGAATTGAAACATTTAGATGTTATCCAGCATCAAAAAGTTAGTCCCCATTATCAAGCATATTTTCGAGTAAGTTCATCATTGTAGTGTATTTCACCGTGTTTGTCTAAGTATATTTATTTTTTTGTATATTAATTTATATTAATAAGTTATTTTTTATGTGAAAGATCTTGATTATGATTAGAATTGCTTACTTAAAATTGATGAGTAGTCAAGATTCCGCCAAGTCAATGTGTTCATTATACAGAGTCACAATATGATGTGTCGAATTCAAACCGTGACTCCTATTATTATTACTATTTATTTATATATAAGACAATTCTTCTAGAATGTCAAAATATGACTCGTCAAGCATATCGGTATCTTTTTTTAAGTTTAGACCGTTTTTTTGTTCCTTTATATGAATCATTTCAGAAACATTTCTCTTTTGAAAATTAGATTCGGAATCTAAAATTTTTATGTCTTCCCAATTAAATGAGTGTTGGTAATTAAGAATATGTTCCGAGATGACCGAGTGCTTTGACGAATCTAACTTTATATTATTTACATGTTCTTTAACTCTCATTTTAAGTTGTCTTTTGGTTTGGCCAACATATGTCGCATCGCAATCGTGACATGAGATCTTATAAATAACATTGGAATTAGTTAAAAATTGATTTTTATCTTTATGAACCTTGATAAAACGATTGAGTTTATTAAGACAACGATAACCTATGGTCATTTCTGTTTTTTTGATAGATGATGCGATTTTGTCAGAAATGCTATTCACATAAGGAATAACAAAGAAATTCTTTTTTTCATTATCTCCAGCTATTTCAGGAATCTTAGTAATATTATTGTCATTAGTCAAGATATTTAGTTTGGAAGTAATAAGATACTTAATTCTTTGATTAATAGTGGAGAAAATAAATTCTAAAGGGTAACCGTTGTTACGTAAAATAGTTATGATTGAATTTATATTCTTCTTATGAAATTCTGGATGTGAAAGAAGAAGAGCTCTATCTACTAAGTTATAAACAATGCCTTTTTTTGGCAGAAAGGATGGTTAGAGTAATAGGAAAGAGTTCTTCCAGAAAATGTTTTTTTCTGAAACCAATCAACAAAAATGGTATTGTTAATTAATTTTAATGATACATCTAAGAAATTTAAACAACGGTTATCCTCATATTCCAATGTGAATTTGAGTCTGTCATGGTATTTGTTAAAAGAATCCACAATCAAATCAACCTTCTTCTCAGGAACTGTCATAATGATATCATCAACGTATCTATAATAAAATGGGATGTCGATATTAATCAAGTCAAGAACAGAATTTTCCAAATCTTCCATTATTAAATCAGCTATTATGGGCGATAATGGTGATCCCATGGGGGTATCGAAAATTTGTTTATAAATT